CTACTACTTATGGTACGATATAAGATGAGGAAGGAAACGGAGAATGGATTAGTGTGTGTCTTCAGAAGCGTCTCGCAAATTAAGTTTTATGCAGTGAGAGGCAAATACTTGTTTCAGAGATTTACGAGAATTCCACACAGTGGCATCGATGGTTCAAAGATTGAACGTTAGCAATAGGAGAGCATTTCCCATGTCTACTAAATTAGTAATACAATTAAGATATCTGGCTATGTTGATTCTTATAAAAGTTGAATGTTTCCATGTCCGCTGTACCTCCCCTCGATGCCGACAATTCTCAAAGAAATTATCGAGGAATTAGATGAATGCACGTAGATAACAGAAACAGATTATTTTTCTACTTATTGCTTAAATAAATATGCAAATGTGGATTTGAATATTCACTATAAGAATTCCAAGAAGCCGGGATAGCTCAGTCGGTATAGCTACGGGCTACAGGCCGAGGAAATGGGGTTCCATTCCCGAAAGAGGAAGATATTTTTCTCTTCTCAAGAGCGTCCAGACCAGCTTAGGAACCCACCCAGCCTCCCCTAAAATGAGTACAGAGGGCTCTTCCCCGAGAGTAAAGCAGCATGGCCGTGATGTTGGCCACTTGCCTTCATTTATTACAGAGTTCGAGAATGATGAAGCTATACCCCCACTCCCCCATACGCCTTCATGGCGTGATGCTCAACTAATTAAGCAGAGGGAAAAACTTACTGTTTCACTTCAAGGATTCCACTGCCGTTTTGTCTCTTTCTACTTTATTCCTTTAGTCCGATTGTGTCTGTGGAATGTTGTAAGGCAGTGAGACAAAAACGAAAAGATTAATTTGAAGAAATGAGAAAATGAACGTTTGATATGTTGGTGAATGTGTGGGCAGGCAGTCATGGAATGGAAGGAATGCGAACCACGTACTTTCAATATTCACATCTTCGCTTTCACTTTTTCTTCGCGTGATCTTATTCTTTCGGACGCGTGTTCCCATGCTTCTGATCTTACTTCGGCCTACTTCCGACAAAACCCCGAATTCACTTGCAATTCGAAACCGCGCATACTTCAGATTTGCGTCTTCTGAGTTGTGACACCGTACAGACTTTTATACGGATACCAACTTTTCTGAGGAGCAGGCTGCCTCTAGCTTCAGAACCGCATAATGTAGTCATGATGAAGGATGCAAACGTTTAGAAGGAAAATGGTACCTCCATCTTCAGGATCGAGGCGGCCCTGAAGATGAGAGCAGCGTGTTACCCCGAAATGTTTGTATCCGTTTGCCTACGCTTCCACAGACCAGAAGACTGAACACTCGCCTCAGTGAAAGACTGAAAACACATGTGTGTCGTCATACTGATAACTCTACATGTCCGCCGTGTAAGTAAATAATAATTTAAAAAACGAAGAAATCTATCGTTATTAAAAGTCATATAGGAGCAAACATAACATAAACTGCAAGAAATACACAGATAGATGAACACGGTACAACTGCGGTTCAAAGGTTATCACAACAAGCTAATTATGGAACTGTCATATGTACGTTCATTTCGTCTTCTACTGCTCTTCAACTATCGGCAGCCATTTCGTATCTCGAAAAAGTTGTCCGAAACAACGACCATCTAATGCTGAAATTAAGAACGCATGGAGTCTGAGCTCCATGTATTTACAACCACAACTTGTCCTACTCAAATTAGATTTCAAGATCTTCGTTGAACGGTAGTAATACTGCACCCACATCATTTGTTCTCTATGCCACCATTTGTGCATAATCGACCACAGAAACGTTAACATCAAAATGGCCGACCTGCAGGTAAGGTTCTAGATTTGAATTCCGGTGGATATTCTGTTACAGCTTCGGCCGAGATATTGGCTGTCTTGAAAGAGGCTTTCATGGTTTTCCTCAGTCCCTACAGGAGAATACCGGGATAATACCTCTATTAAGCCACGGGCGCTTCCTTCCAAATCCTCTACAGTACATAAGTCGCCCTACCAGCCAACGCTGTAGAGTACAGACACTGACACCCTCGTTAAATAACCAACAAAGGAGAGAAGAATATTGACAAAATTTGGAGACTGATGATAGACTGCTCACTCCAAATCTCGTGAAAATGATAGTTAAGTTTAGTACTTATAGCATATGTCTACGTGTTACTGAGGCTCGAAAAAGAACAGACGGACGTTGCTCACAGGATTAAGACTGAACAATGTTCCCTTTTCTTAAACACTTCAGAAAGAAGATTATTTAAATAGTATTAAAAAATTGGCTTCTATCTCCAAGAAACCAATTCCGGCAACAGAATCAGGAAGTTTACAACTTCTGATGTTAATGCCAGACACTAGACACGATTCTGAGTCCGCCAAAAACTAAGAATTACCAAATTCTTAGCTTTTATTTTACAGGTTATAAACAAAGGTCTTCTGTTTGGTTATGTGTTGATATACTAGCTATGACGGTTATTTGATAGCGTGCTGCAAATATTTCAACCATGCAGCGGAAGACGAACCGGTATTGCATTAGCTCTTCACGCGCGTGTTCGGACCAGCTGCGCAATCGACAACCCTTGTGGTAACGGTAAGGTAAAGTTGTCCCTGAGCTTAATTAGTTAAGCACTATGTCATGAATATATACATGGGGAGTGGAGGTATAGCTCCACCTTTTCATGACTTCGACACTAGATGGGAGTAGTCAACTTCACGCCCGGGCCACTTTACTCCCGGGGAAAGAGCTCCGAGTACCCACTGGATAGGAGGGTAGGTGGGCCCCAGAGTCAGTTTGGATACTGTGCAGAATAAAAATCTTGCATTTCCCGGAATCGAACCCGGGCCTTTCCAGTCCGTTGCCTGTCGCTATACCAACTCCTGACAAGCATACAAACAAAAAAAAAAAAACACACATAAGGCACACCCAGATCGCAACGTATGTTGGAAACGGTCCCTGTTGTTAAACACCGATTCCTTCTGTATCCACAAGACGTTAACACTTACGCGCTTAAGTTCTCTTATGGAAACAGAGCATACTTGAAACAATAAACTGAACCTTTAAATTCCTTACCCTGTACAGGGTATCTAAGTGAGTTTCGAAGAGACTGTTCAAGCCTATCACCGAGACCATTCGGTTTGTGTTCAGTGAGAGCTCGGCGGATCATTCTGTAATACAATAACCGTGTTTGAAATTACATACAGGGTAGCAGGGACCTTGAATTATGGTCATCTAGAATATAATGCATAATCTCCCTTTACGACAGCCGCTCAAAAATATATTAGGGAAATACTGAAGGAAGTTGTAATGTGGATAGAATACTGGCTTGTCGACTACGCTTAGTCCAAATGCGGTGCGAGTTGACGCGAGTGGTCTGTTCCTCCAGCCGAACCGGCCGAACGATCTATTTTATTAAGAAAGGGCAGTAGAATGGGACTGAGGAGAAACTGTTGTGGACACTTCCTGTCTATGCTTTTCAATTCAGCATTCGTACTTAAAGCAAGGGTAACTATAGTCACTGCCGGTCACGGTAGCCGAGCGGTCTAAGGCATGCATTGTCTTCGCTCGCTTGGACACCGGGATCGTGGGCTCGAATCCCACTCAGGGCATGGATGTTTGTGTGCGTTTTTGTGTGTTTGTGTACAGGTAGAGGCCTTGCGACGAGCTGATCACTCGCCCAAGGAGTCCTACCGAATGTATAAGATCTAGAAAAACCGAAGTGAACGGAGTTCATGGAGGTAGGCCTAGGCCCACTGGGGCTGTAGTGCCAAGGGGGAAAAAAAAACTATAGTCACTAGCCGCCCAGTAATTTTCCGGGATTCTCCCGATTTCATACTGCATACCCTATGTTCCGGCTTAATGACAGACATTGGAAAAGTCGATGTTCACCTGACACGCCGCCTGCTTTCCTGTTTGTTCAAAACGAGTTTTAGGTCCTAAATATTAAGGCAAGAATTATTGAATCAAGCCTCCCTTTACTCTAGTAATTCACGAGATAAATTTGTTCAATATTAGTTACCTATAAGCGTAGAAAGCCGGCCACAGCAGCCGTGCGATCTGAGGCATGAAATGTCTTCGCTCGCTCGGCCGCTGGGATCGTGGGTTAGAAGCCCACTCAGAGCAAAAATGTTTGGTGTGCGTATGCGTTTATTCTCTTTGTGTTGTCCTCTGTTTAGATAGCGGCCTTGAGACGAACTGATCACTCGTCCAAGGAGTCCTACCGTCTGTGAAAAACGATTACGGAACTGAATAAGAGGCCTGGGCCCTGAATAGGCTAGAGGAGCCAATGGGGGAAAAGTAATAAGAGTAGAAAGGTGTAAAAGCTCTATGTCAATGAATTTATCGAAATACGTTGAGATTTTTCACGGCTCATTACCTATGATCTTCAAAGTACAAACACATATCTGGTACTGAATTATGAATCTGTCGCTACAGTACATACACTCTGAATTAATTATCGTTAGATTGTTTTTGTAAATATTTCCGCTAGTGAAAAGCATTGAAAATAGAATTGATGAATCTTAACAATATTTATATGAGAGCAATATAACAATATTCACATGCTAAGCCCTCGTTTTTTTTAGAACATCGTTAAAGATCTATTTATGCTTCATGTAATGTAAGGGATTATATTGGACAGATCAGAAACAAAATTGGATGAACTCGACAGTTTGTAACACACGCTGCCAATGTTAAGTTTCGTTTAAATCCGTTCAGAAATTTCAGAGATGAAACGTTTAGTAGCCAGACTGAAAAGGTCTCCCTCATATGCGTTCACTTTGTAGGTGGGTGTGGGGAAATAACCTTGATGTAATGTGGATCACGAATTATAAGGCTAGTGAATCATAAAGTGAGAAAACTGAAATAGTCACACTGGACGGACTTGTCTTTTATAATTGTAACTGTTAGTGTGACGGACCAAAAATGAAACAAATCAAATGGATCACAAATATCTTCTACTTCCTTCTGCACGTATTTAATGTTTACGTAACCCTTCAATGCGTTTTATTCTAATATTCTGACTACTTACATTTCTGTATGGTATCACAGGTGTTGATAAGAAATAAGAAAGTAACAGACAAAACCATTAAGAAACATCGCCATGACCCACAGGATCCACAGTTACGAATCGCCATGCTCCTCACGCAAGTTAACCTCTACTATCGTCGCGCGTCTGCAGGTGAACACTCGCAATCTCGCAATCCTCTTCGTGCCTAAGCAAGTCTGAATCTGACCAGCTGTTGCTATATAGCGCTATATAGCATTCTTCATGATTATTGTGACGACACTGCAGTCAAGGCCGCTGTTTTATTCTTCTTGCTTCTAAACGCACACATAAGTGAATTTTAATTCAGGTCGCGTATTATACTTCTGAACGTGCCAACTTTTGAGCAACAATTCAACAAGAATTTCGATTTCATCTGAACCACTTTTGGCTTCTTTATTGTGCTCAATACATTTAAAATAATAAATTGCAACACTCGAGTGGTAGATAACAATATAAAATACAATATTTATAAAGAATATGTAACTGTAATTCAATGCTCCCTGCCTGAAATTTACCGTTCCGTACTTACTTACTTACTCGTGGAGCTGGGCCCTTCTGGAGGAGCCGCCAATTTTGCAGCTACTCAAGAATTTCCCAGCATTTTATGGAACCCGAAGGTTCATCACCGTGTTCACAAGAGCCCTCCACTGGTCCCTATCTTGAGCCAGATCTATCCAATCCATACCATCCCATTCTATCTCTCTAAGATCCATTCTAATATTGTCCACCCACCTACGCCTTGGTCTTCCCTGTGGTCTCTTTCCTTCTGGCTTTCTCACCAATATCCTAGTTATTAATAATAGTTTTAATTTATACTTGATGTTTTGCGGCAAAGAAGATTACATTGCGGTTATAATACAGTTGAATCTGGTTGATTTGGAGTAACACGATACATCCATCTTCTACCGTGAAAATGGAAGCAGCAAGTTCTTCCGAAACGTTCGTTCTCGTCTACCAGACTGTAGCATGTCATTACCCAGACGACCACAATTTTGATTTTGAGGGTTTTGAGGTCATGGCTGAGTGATACAGAATAGTAGGTATCTATTGTACCGACTGTGCCGCGACGTGTATGCCGTGTTTTCTAGATTGTCCTATAGGGGCACTGTTCGTACATGGCGGGAAAGTCGGATGCGACGTCATACGGCGCCGTTTCAAACCAGAAGCATTGTGATTGTAGTATTAAACATGGACAAATGTAAGTTCGTTAACAAATAAAATTGAAAAAAAAAATAAAACATGGTTTCATGCTATAACATTATGTAGTTAAACGGGTGGCTGCCAACGTTTCAGCGGAATCTGTTGCCCGACTCTAAATTCATGGTAGAAGAGTACTCAATATCTGTTCTGTAGATGAAGTAGACTCCTCCAAAACACTGCTAACTGCCTACATAGTATCACCAATCAAGAGATCACAATCTTTATTTCATCACTGAGAAGATCTCAAATCTAAAGAGCTTCATTTCCATTCATTTCTGTCTGGGTTATCAGCTGCACTTCAACTCTGGAATGCAATTTCAGTATAATCATTTTTAGGTTTTTAAAGGAACATAATATTTGCCTATTCCTTGATTAAATTACAGACATCCTATTATTTGGGAAATTATATCTGGTGAAACATGCAGAGTTATGAATACCCACAATATAATGTTATGATAGAATTAAACCATATGAAAGACATAAATGACAGTATTGTTTGCAGATAATTTTTGGCCACGCTTATTTCCTAGAAAGAATGATGGTGGTATACAGATATGACTAGGGAGGACAGGGAGACAATTTTTTAATTTTACAAAAAATACCTATATATATCAAAGAAGAATCGAAAGGAAAATAGAGGATATACTTGGAGAGGATCAGTTTGGATTTAGAAGAGGAAAAGGAACCAGGGATGCAATTGGGATGATGAGAATTATAGCAGAACGAACTTTGGAGATAGATGAAGAACTGTGTGCTTGCTTTATAGACTGGCAGAAGGCATTTNGAAACTGTGAAATATGCAGATGACCTTGTGTTAAAGGCTAAGGAAGAAACTGTGCTACAGGGCATGACTGATAGACTAATCAAAATTGGAAGATGCTATGGCATGGAAATGAATGTGTTAAAAACAAAAGTAATGAAAATTTCGAGACAACCAACCCCAGTCACTATAAAGATAGACCAAAAACAACTGGAGAATGTGAAATGTTTTAAATATTTGGGTAGCTTGTTAACAGATGACGGAAGGTGTACGTATGAAATTAAATCTAGGATTGACATGGCAAAAGCTGCATTTAGTAAGAAGAATATTTTTACCAGCAAATTGGACTTAAATTTGAGAAAGAAACTAGTGAAATGCTACATTTGGAGCATTGCTTTGTATGGGGCTGAAACCTGGACATTTAGGGCAGTAGATCAGAAACATCCGGAAAGTTTCGAAATGTGGTGTTGGAGAAGGATGGAGAAGATCAGTTGGACCGATTATGTGAGAAATGAAGAAGTGTTATTTAGAGTCAGTGAGCAGAGGAATATCCTACACAAAATAAGAAAATGGAAGGCTAATTGGATTGGTCATATCTTACGCAGTAACTGCCTTCTAAAAGAATTATTGAAGGAAAGATAGAGGGGCAGATAGAAGCGATCAGAAGACGAGGAAGAAGATCTAAGAAGATGCTGGATGTCCTTGGAGACAGAAGAGGATATTTTCATTTGAAGGAGAAAGCTCTAAATCGCATCAAGTGGAGGAACTGTTTTGGAAGAGACTGTGGACCTGTCGTCTTGATAGATTACAGATGAATGAATGAATATATCAAATTGACATGTAACAGCCAGATGACCTTGACTGTTTAGGTGTTGTGACACTTGCTGAGAGTTCACCATAAAACTACAGGTTAGACACTACTTTCTAGTCACGTATATGAGCGTGATGGCGTACGTAATGCTAATTGTTTGGGATTTTATAAGTAGTCCCACCACACATTACATAATGCATTTAAATTGGGATTATGAATGGGTTGTACATTTATGCTAACTTCCATATTAATTACATTTGTTTTACGTGAAAGAAACAATAATCACCTGGTACTTTGAACCATGTGCAAGTAACATTTCTATCACATTTTGCATAGATACTACAGACATGTGTTTCAATATGGCAGTTACCATTATAACTTTACAATATAAAAATTTGTGAAGCTGAATTTAATTCGTGAAACACATGTTATCTCTAATTTTACAGTAACATATTTTTTGCTTACTTTCCTTCCTTAAGGGACAAGAAGACTTATAAAACCACCACCATACTGTGTATGTGTGCACACATGCATGCCTGCATGTAGATGTACGTGTATGTCCCTTTAAACTTTAAAGATAACCTATAATCACAAAATTTGATAAGAAAATTATGGCACTAGAGACTACCCCAACCATGTACTCTTTCAATCTACAACAATCATTTATAACAACATAGCGGACATATAAACTTGTGAGGGGGAAGTGATATTACCGCCTCTTAATGCACAGAATCTTGAAATTAACACATTTTATTTTTATGTTCCATGGAGAAAGCATGAGTGCAATGCACCACTGTGTACTATGACAAAAAGCTCTGATCATTTTAAATAAAGGTGGCAAATTGAACTGAATTTAACTGACTCCTCAGAATATGTTCTATTCTACTTTTGTTCTATTGCTGTCTTTAAGTCCTCTCATTTATGCAAAAGAGAGTAGCTATTCATTTCTTAATGAGCACCAAAACCTATATTCAGTACTCATCAATTATTCAATCAATAAATCAATTTATTTGTTCCGAGAATCCATATTTGGAGATACAAACTCCAGATATAGAACAAGCCAATTAATACATATTGTAACATGTTGCGCAACGGAGAACCCCTCCCTACCCAGCAGCAACGTGGCAACTCAGGCCACAGGTGCATGGTGGTAACGTAGCGCCCCCTCCCTCCCCTCCGCGGTGACGTAACGCGCAACGCTACATACCCGTAATCAACTTCCTACTGTGACGTGGTACACATCAGGCAAGCACTACGGCTATATAAGTGAGCTGCACAGCGGCTGAGTCAGTTGTACTGTCACAGTCGCCAAGTAGAGTTATAACGTGGCCATCGCCGAAGATAGTTCCGAGCAAGCCTACGAGCGAGTGTGTTATCAATAGTTCTCCAGTCAGCCGACTACAAGTTGGAGTATAGCAGCTGTCGCGGATAGAAGAACCGGACGTGGGTGTGATTGTGTAATTGGGAGTGTGTGATACAGTGATCCATCGCTCCCCTACTGTAAAAGTGTGGACTACTGAAGGTAGAGTGAACTGATTTGTGCATAGGGTTATAACTCGTGAGACCCCGCAACAGTGTTAACAGATTAATGCGATTAGGGTTATAAAGTGTGAAACCCCGCAACTGTGTGATAAGTAATTGTAGCCGTTACTTGTAGATTGTTAAATAAACCAATTAACCATCTCTACGGCGTCTTCAATAATGAAACACGTTACAATATTAATATAACATACATATCATACATGAGTCAACAATACTAAAACCAAACAAACTAAACTGGTTTTAGTCCACAAGTGAACTAAACTGGTTTTAGTCCACAAGTGAACTATACCGACCAAACAACTGCCGCTTGTCGGCGAAGTTTAGTGCCAACTTTTGCGGATAGAGGGTGTCGCGTGNACATCAGGCAAGCACTACGGCTATATAAGTGAGCTGCACAGCGGCTGAGTCAGTTGTACTGTCACAGTCGCCAAGTAGAGTTATAACGTGGCCATCGCCGAAGATAGTTCCGAGCAAGCCTACGAGCGAGTGTGTTATCAATAGTTCTCCAGTCAGCCGACTACAAGTTGGAGTATAGCAGCTGTCGCGGATAGAAGAACCGGACGTGGGTGTGATTGTGTAATTGGGAGTGTGTGATACAGTGATCCATCGCTCCCCTACTGTAAAAGTGTGGACTACTGAAGGTAGAGTGAACTGATTTGTGCATAGGGTTATAACTCGTGAGACCCCGCAACAGTGTTAACAGATTAATGCGATTAGGGTTATAAAGTGTGAAACCCCGCAACTGTGTGATAAGTAATTGTAGCCGTTACTTGTAGATTGTTAAATAAACCAATTAACCATCTCTACGGCGTCTTCAATAATGAAACACGTTACAATATTAATATAACATACATATCATACATGAGTCAACAATACTAAAACCAAACAAACTAAACTGGTTTTAGTCCACAAGTGAACTAAACTGGTTTTAGTCCACAAGTGAACTATACCGACCAAACAACTGCCGCTTGTCGGCGAAGTTTAGTGCCAACTTTTGCGGATAGAGGGTGTCGCGTGGTCAGTGCAACGAATCCCCACAGATGTTAATTTCGGTTTTCTAGACTGAAGCCGCTACTTCCTCGAAATAGCTCCTCAATTATCATCATGAGGCTTAGTGGACCTGGTTCCAGAACCACTACTTCTCAGGAAAAATCTGGTAGCGCCGGGAATCGAACCCAGACCTCTGGATCTGTAGCTAGGAACGCTGACCTCTAGATCACAGAGGCAGTTGAGTCAACAATACTATGAAACTTAATTACCTACAGATTTCAGACACATCAATCATACAATACATTGTATCACTTTCAACAATTCAATACCAAAAGAAACCCAACATCCAACATTTCTTTTATAGATTAAGTGAGGACAAGATATTTGTCATAACATAAAACCATAACACACTCACTTCAGAATTTAAGGGACATAAACTCATCAATGGAATAAATGGAATGTTTCAACAAAAAGGATTTTAAGTCCTTCTTAAAAGAGTTAATTTTTTTATCTGCTCAGGGACCTTATTATACAAGGTGATACCCATATTTATAATGCTCTTTTTAAAAAAAGAACTGTATTGCAATGATTTACATGTAAATTTGGTTTCCTTCACATATTGTAAATAAGGATGTCCACATCTTTTGCCATAGAGTATTTATATTTTTAATAAAACATATCACTTCAAAAATGTATAGTGTAGCCAATGTTAAAATATTATAAGCTTTAAAAATTTGTCTGCATGACATTTGATTACTAATCCCACTGATAATTCGAAGGACCTTTTTTTTTGCAGTTTAAAGAGTTTGTCACATTCGTTATCCCCTCCCAATAATATAGCACCGTACCTCAGACAAGACTCAAAATTTGAAAAGTAAACATTTCTTATCATATATGGGCTCATAGTTTCTTTTAAAGTTTTTATCNGACACATCAATCATACAATACATTGTATCACTTTCAACAATTCAATACCAAAAGAAACCCAACATCCAACATTTCTTTTATAGATTAAGTGAGGACAAGATATTTGTCATAACATAAAACCATAACACACTCACTTCAGAATTTAAGGGACATAAACTCATCAATGGAATAAATGGAATGTTTCAACAAAAAGGATTTTAAGTCCTTCTTAAAAGAGTTAATTTTTTTATCTGCTCAGGGACCTTATTATACAAGGTGATACCCATATTTATAACGCTCTTTTTAAAAAAAGAACTGTATTGCAATGATTTACATGTAAATTTGGTTTCCTTCACATATTGTAAATAAGGATGTCCACATCTTTTGCCATAGAGTATTTATATTTTTAATAAAACATATCACTTCAAAAATGTATAGTGTAGCCAATGTTAAAATATTATAAGCTTTAAAAATTTGTCTGCATGACATTTGATTACTAATCCCACTGATAATTCGAAGGACCTTTTTTTTTGCAGTTTAAAGAGTTTGTCACATTCGTTATCCCCTCCCAATAATATAGCACCGTACCTCAGACAAGACTCAAAATTTGAAAAGTAGACATTTCTTATCATATATGGGCTCATAGTTTCTTTTAAAGTTTTTATCATATAAATTATTTTGCATAGTTTAGCTCTTAAAAATTGAGCATGGGGGCCCCATTTTAGGTTTTCTGTGATGTACATAGTAAATACCTAAAAATCTCAGTTCTGATTTATAGGTAATTTCTATAGTTTTAAAATTTATTTGTGGTCTTAACGGAACTCTCATTTGTTTTAGATGAAATGACACAGCAATTTTTTTTTTCAAAATTTATTATAAGATTATTTTTCTCAAACCATATTTCTATCTCTCTCATTGCATTTTTTTGTTGTTGTTGAAAGTCAACTTCATCTGATCCAATAATTAACAAATTAGTATTATCTGCAACTAAGACCAATCTGCCCCTCGAACATTTTCAGTGAGGTTATTTATATACAGCAAAAATAAAAGCGGCCCCAACACTGATCCTTGTGGCATCCATGCTCTACTTTCATTCATGATGAAGTGTAACTTTGTCTAAGGGGGTTTCTACAATCTGTTTCCCAATGACAAACTGGAATCAATTTGACAAATAAGACTTAAACCACAGGTTTGACTCACCTCACAGAAATAAGCAATTCTAGCAGTTTTTTTTTTCCCCCAAATTTGTCTATTTCAAAATAAATGCCATGTTTTTATGTAATGCTCTACAACCACGACCAGATATATCTATAAAACACTAACCACATTACAAAGCTTATGGTCTAGAACAATAAATAATATGTCAATAAATAGTACATTTGTTTCCTTGTATTAAAAATACAATTCAAAACATAACTTGAAAATTTTGTAAGATACATGTAATGCAATACTTTTATTACCAGCTACATTCAACAGAAATAATACACTAACTGATAAACTGTCACTAAAAAACAATCAATCTGCAGAGAACTCAAAATACTATTCAAGTTCAAGCATACAGCCTAGATCTGTAGATTTGAAACATACCATGTAGCTTCCTTGGTACATACTGTTTCAGTATTTAGTGTTAAACATGTTTCTCCTTACTTACAGAAAATATGGATCAAGTGCTGTGCATTTTGAAATCTGCATTTTGTCAGTGATGAGACAAACACTAACAATAACCCGACTCCATACTGGATTTGTTAATATAAGAAACATTTCTGAAATTCAGATTACTACAGTGTCACATTAATCTAATGAATCTGAGAAGCATCTGATAATCACACAAGAATGATATGTTTTGCTATAAAAAGTAAAGTCTTCTGTGTTATAATGACATGTGGTAAAGAGAAGGTCCGCCGGTCACGGTAGCCGAGCGGTCTAAGGCATGCACTGTTTTCGCTCGCTGGGAAGCCGGGATCGTGGGTTCGAATCCCACTCAGGGCATGGATTTTTGTGTGCGTTTTTCTGTGTTTGTCTACAGGTAGAGGCCTTGCGACGAGCTGATCACTCGCCCAAGGAGTCCTACCGTATGTGTATGATCTAGAAAAACTGAAGTGAACAGAGTTCATGGAGGTAGGCCTAGGCCCACTGGGGCTGTAGTGCCAAGAAAAAAAAAAAAGAGAGAGAGAGAGAAGGTCCAACGGTTTGGAGGAAAACTTTTTTCTCTGTTCCTGCTAGTTACTTGCTTGGCTTACTTTGTAACCCTGAAGATGGCACCATACATTCCTCTGAAACATCCAGCTTTCTCCAAACTATACAACATTACATCCAAGAACACTAGAGTCTTCACAGTCACAGCTGTCAGATCCACAAATACAATACAGTTTTCCTGTGACTTTATCCATTCCAAGAAATCTGACTGTTACATTAAGAGAGCTTTGAACACAAAATGAATCAGAAATATGCAGTCAAAAAATGAAATGGTATAAGATATTACAATACAGAGAAATAAATGAGATCAAATTTTCTTGAAAAACAGATCTTACAGATGTACAATTTGTATAATTGCCTAGAATTCATGAAGAAAATGTATAATTTCAGACTGAAGAAATTCTGCAATCAGAATGTTTTTGTTATCTCAAGTGGAGTATGATAACTTTTCTCATATATGAGGGTATCCGGAAAGAAAAGACAAAAATCCAGTATAAATGCAAGGGTTCCCCCCCCCGGAAATGGCAGTGCTGCCATGTGAGATGGGAACTGTAAGACAGGGCTGAGTTCACCAGCCACAGTCACAGCAACGTTGTGCTCGCAGGGTGTGTTTAAAATGGCTGTGTCAATTCAAAATCCTGCCAAATGTGAGGTTTGTGCAGTAATTCAATTTCTTCATGGGAAAGGAGAATCTGTTACTGAAATTCATCACTCACATGTTTCTGTTTATGGTGAATATGTTATGAACAGGCAAAACGTGGCAAAATGGTGTCGTGAATTGGAAGCGGGAAGAAGTGATGTTCATGATGAAATAAGGTGTGGAAGGCCATCCATTTTGAAATCATCAAAATAATTGATGAAAGCATTTGTGCTGACAGACGTTAAACATCGATGAACTTCAACATCAATGTTCAGGAGTGTCCAGAACTGTTCTCCATGGTTAGGAGAACAGGTAAAAGATTTCTATGATGCTTGAGTAAAAAAACTCGTTCCCAGGCTTACTAAGTGAATTGCTATCCATGGTGACTATGTTGAAAAGTAAATAAAGGTGTGTTGTAAAAATGCTACAAGTGAATGCAAAAAAGAAAAAATGCTTTACAAATATTTTCTGGACTTTGTATCTTTACTTTCTGGACATTCTTGGTATAAATTTTCCTCTGCCTTGTTCAGATATAAATACAATTATCAACTTTAGAGCTCATTTGGATTCTTGTGTATAGTAATATTTTTTTCTCACTTCTGAAACATGTGAATGAGTAATTATCCAACAAAATAGTTATCAGAGTATGAAATAGAGAGCAAAAACACACGGCTTATTAAGGGCGATCTCCACATCCGCATGAGAATGTACTCTCGACAGGATTTATGGAAGGTGAATAAATGAAATGAAACAAAATCCTGCAAAAATTAAGTGTATAAAATAAAAATTACAATAAAAATGAAGCAACTTCATAAAGAGTTATATCAGTCAACTTACCAAAACCAACTGCTAACAGTCAAAGATACTGATATTACAGAGACCAGAACTTTCAAGCAGGCAGAAAGTGGCCATGGTTTTCATTCCTGTCATATTGTATAAATGTCCATCTGCCATTGAAATAAATGCTGTACGCCAATAGCCCTCTAACATTAGGACCAAATGTCATCAAATTGTGTATTTCATCTGCTACAACCAAAAGTTTTGACAGCAGGCCTTATACATATTTTTACTTAATAATTTTCTTCTTAAATATCTTGTAAACAAATATATAATCTATACTAAAAGAGAGTTAAAAATATTCACACCTAATACATAGTTAGATGCAAAGTTTTGCAAACCATGATTTGGTTTGCTGACAGCGAGCGTTTGTACAGTGTGGACATCTTGTAAGAAATTTAGGACTTATTGGTTGGTTATTATGCAAGTGAGTTTTAACCAGATCAGTAAGAGCATCAATAAAGAGTGGGTGATCATTGGGTGCTGCAGCCCGGCGAATCATTTCAACACCAATCTGTAAAAGCAAAAGCACTGAATTAATAAAAGTAGTGAATGAGTGTGTGATTTTATGCATATGACATACATATACTCACCTGTTTATGTTTCTTGAACTCTTTAGTGGATTTGAGCTAAACAAAAGTAGTACAACATACAGTGTCACACAGAAATAGTACTTACATAGTATTATTTCATACTAATGATATTTTCTTTAACCCACTAAATCCCAAAGTATTTTTTTAACTCAGTGATCATACTCATGCTTTTTGTGCTCTTTGTCTTGAAAAAGGCCCAAAGAGTAAAATTTTTACAAGCCTTTACATTTAGAAACTTTTATTGGACATGTGATATATCATACCCTCGGAAGTGTCACATAAATTGAACATACATTACACACTGGGCAGTGTTACATAAGTCAGTCCTATTTTCAAACAAGTAATATATCATAGCACATAGTACTTCTTGTCATTCTACATATAGAGAAATTATAACTGCAAGCTGGTGTGGAAATATGTATATTACACATTCATAACCACAGAAAGCATGTTATAAATAACACATAATTTACTTTTATGCAAAATTTAAAAAAATGTAGTAGCTTTACAATAAAATTTTGAGGTTATATTCTTCCTGTTTCACAGTACCTTAAGGACCAGTACTTACAGTTTTATGGAATACTGTATACACATGGTTACTAGTAATTCACAAAAACAAGATTCAACTACACTATGAGGTGACACCGGAAAGTCCCTTGACTGTTATTGTTGTAACTACCTCAGTGAAAGAAATGAGAGGGGTGGTCACAGTCACACTTCCATAAGCCTATTGCATCAGTCTGCCACATGACACAGAGCTGTGAACATACACTGTTTTTACACGAGTGCATTTTCAACTTCGTGTTTCATTTTGTCTGCAATGGATGGCAAAATTGAGCAAGGTTTGTGCATCAAGTTTCGTGTGAAGCTCAGTAAATCCGCTACCGAAACACTAAAAATGCTTCGTGGGGCTTTTGGAGAACATTCTTTAAGCAAAGCAACGGTTTTTGAATGACATTCACATTTCAAGGCCGGTCAAGTGTCAGTTGAAGATGAGAAATGGTGAGGGCAAGCATGCACCAGCAATATGACAGAAAATGTTGAAAAAATTTGAGAAATCATGAATGAAGACTGTCACCAAACCATCCATGAGCTCACAGACACCATTGGAATTAGTTATGAAGTTTGCCAGGAGATCTTTACAGAAAATCTGAACAAGTGCCACATTACCACAAAGTATGATTTTTTGTATTTCAGTTCGTGAACTGAGCGTATTAGTAGTTAAGTCAAATCCTTCCTCTGCTCTTTCCTGGCTAATTGTTCCATTCTCAGATTAGTATATTCCTGCATTGACTGCAAAATATAAATTTAACTGAAACAATTACCAGTATAAATGCAGCTGTATAAAGTAACAAATCTGACAGACGTTTTCTGTGTTACTGAGAAACCAAGTGATCTTCCCTCCATGCAACATTGTAACAACACACCAGAATTTTTAATCATACCTTACTGTTACAGTTCAGATTTTTACAGCAGTGACTATGAAGAGTGTTATCTTCTGGGATGTGATGCCATGTACTATTAACATTTTTAAGCATATTGTCTCCATCTTCTGGGTCAAAAAATAAGTCATTCAAGCAACAAGCAAGCATCAAACAGGGAGCTCTCTGTTTGAGGTTTGCTTACTGCTGCTTACTCTTTGATACTGAAAATTGAAGCAATACAGAAACACCAATAAACTTCAATCAAACAGTGGAACCTTAAATGAGTAGATTTCCCTTTATTCAACTTCTGAAAAGCATATGTGTAACAAGATATATCATATGATGGGCTTCAATGGGTTAATAAGTAATCATTTTATTGATCATGCGTAGACACTGTACTGCACTACAGTTAGTAACACTTGATCAACTAATAACAGAATGTACCTCTTTTGCCAGATCATTACAATATTCTATGTCCAACTCATGAAGTGTTTCGATGTGTTCATTCACAAATGCAATTGGAACAAGTATGAAGTTCTTCTTTCCCTGTTTAACAAAACCTAGAAAAACATAAAAAAGCATAAATGACTAAAGGAATGTGTTCTTTGTAAAACAAGTATCATTATATGCCACATTAGGCTGAGGATATGCCACACTTCCCCAAATTTATAAAACCAACTTACCTCTAATTTGATCTATTCTATCGAATTTGTTACACTGGATGATTGTTACTCCAATAATTACTAGCTTAACATTTGCATAGAAAAACTATGGACAATTGGAAAAATATATTTCTGTACCACATATATAGAATTTTCTATCTGTACCAAAGCTGCAGGTCACAAATCTCTGTATGATTTGCAGAAGGCATTGCAAATGATGAGTGTTTCTTAGCACTTAATGATAAAAAATATAAGAACAAAATAATTATTTTAATTGAAGGTACTCTTAAGGGTTACAAAGGCTGTGCAACAGCTCAAGCGGTTAGTCGCTGCCTTCCCACTGCGGTGGCCTGGGTTTGATCCCGGGTCTGGTCAAGTGGGATTTGTGGTGGACAAAGTGGCACTGGGGCAGGTTTTCTCCGAGTACTTTGGTTTCCCTTGCCAATCTTCATTCCACCAATTGCTCCACAATCACCCTCACCTATCATCTGGGGCTGGTACAATAGGCCAGAAGTGGCCGCAGTACAAGGAACTTAGTCGCACCCCACTAGCAATAAAAAAAAATAGGGGTTACAACCTGAAGTTAAAAAGTAGGAACAGTGTTTTACTTACCTTTCAGAGCTTCATCAGTGGATGGTTGTAACCAAGGGAGAGGTCCTACTTTTGACTGCCATACCAAACTGTATGGATTACTGTAGCCCAGCTCCTCCATCACAGCTTGTACAGTAGCACCCACTTCCCATGGATATGAGTCTCCTCGATTCACAGCCTGTGAATCACAGTTCTGTAAAACCTGCTTCTTTACTGTAACCCCTGACTGTGGCAGATTTCATAACACCATGAGCTCAACGCTCAATGCTCTCCTACTCCACTGACAGGAGCACACTGGGGTTACCATGGGAGCTAAGCCATTACTATCACATTCATTATAGCAAGTGTCACATAACTTCGAACAAGGCCAAGAGTAACCTTGAATGCACAGAAGAAAAATTTCAGACAAGGGGGTGGAGGGTGTGAGAAGTGACAGGCAGCCAGTGGAAGAACGAGTGTTAAGAAACTCCTCCCACCACAAGCTATGCACGGGACTTGACTAGGAATGCAGGCCTTCTTTGAAGTTACATGACACTGTCTATAATTTCACAGATGACTATGCCTGGATATCCCAAGCAGTACCTTCCCATTAGGGTTACCACATAAAATGTTGGGCCCATTTCCTACTGGCCTAATGCATACTTGTGCCACCTAACTCATCCTCCTTGATTAGACTGTCCTAGTAATATTTGACAAAGAGTAGAAATTGGTATAATTAAACTACAAATTTACAGATATCAGGTTGGAGTAGATTTGAGTGACATGATGCCCATACTAAATGTCATGAAAATCCACCAAATGGTTAAAAAAATTATTACAGGATATAATACACAGATATAAATGACATGATGATAGTGATTTTGTATTTACCTTGAGAGGCAATGAATGTGCAGAGAACATAATAATGACATCATTCTTAACTTCATCTGGAAACTTAATGAGTTCTGTTCTTATTCTGTCAGCAACAGTCTTTGCTAGCAATGGATGTGTAGCCCATCGATCAATAATGCTCCATTTAACTCCAGCAGGTAACTTTCTGAAAAAAGAAAAAAAAACATCTGCTGTACCTACTCTACAAACACATTTAGTCAAAAGAACCCTCACCTGGAACCAGCTGTTCAAATACCAACAATTGTGAAATCACTGTGACATTACTTTTTCAAGAAGGTTGCACAGAAACCTGCCTGGGGGTGATTACCAGAGATCTATCAGCCCCAACCACAGAAAGTAATAATAAGCACAGTGTTAAGCAACCCACTGAGTCACAAAGCAGTGGATGCCTTTCTTCCATAAGCCACAATCTTCTGGTGAAACTAACCAAACATAGCCTGCTGCACCTTCAGCACCTGACTAGATGGGCATTCTGCTGAGTACCTCCTTGAGAGGTCCAGAGACATAATAATTTTCAAAAACTGCAAAATATGCACCAATTATTATTAGGATGATCAAATCAATTATGATGACTTGAGTGGGGAATGTGGCAGCATGGAAGAGAAGAGAAATGCATACAAAGTTGTTGGTCAGAACCCCTGAAGGAAAGAGACCTGGAAGATGTACATACATACATGCATACATACAAGCACACATACATGCATGCATACACACATATAGACATACATCAGCGTTTCAGAGTATTCACAAGTGTGCAACTGGCACTGAATATAAAACTTGTCAAACAACAGTCACAAGACAATCACAGATAAAATCGCAGAAACATCAATTCAACCATAGTTAAAATCTAAACTGAATACCTCAAATAAATAGATACAATGTTACACATAGTCAGCATGCACTCCCCTTCTATTCCTTAGCTGTTGATCCCGACAGAAGAGCAAAAATTCATCAACAGTATATGATGGATTATGTATTAGGACATCTCCTATTTCATTTATAAACCGTTTTTTATCATGTACCAAGTTAGATAAATATCCGGGCAGACTGTTAAATATTTTTATACTCATGCAATGGACCCCTTTCTGCCTCATTGCGAGATGTGATTGTAGGACATGTAAATTTCTTTCGTGTCTTGTTGGTCTCTCATAAATTGAATAATTAAAATACTCTAAGTTATTTATCATAAAAGTCATCAGAGATAAAATATATTGAGACACCAGTGTTAATATATTTAACTTTATAAATGCTGG